CGCCAGTTAGCGTCCGTTCCTCTATCCGCGACCTGGTGATGCGCTCTGTTGCATGAAGCTTTGCGCTTGCCGAGAGTTACCCGACTGCCCAAACTTGAGGATACGATATGAAGATGCGGTCGTAATCTTTTGCATACGGTAATATCGTATCCAGTTCTCAACTTTTCGTACAATATCTCGGGATCCAGTTACTGACGTTGAACTTAGTCTTCTGCCACGTTTCCAATTAGCTTATACAATCATCGAATCTGCACTTCGGTGCTACGTTTTTGTTTTGGGCTTCCGGTTATCTGAGCACAGAAACGTAGCACGGAAGTGTATATTCGATGGTTTTGGTAATTGGAACGGAAAATTGGCGGAGTACTAAGTTCAACGTCAGCATCTGGCTCCCGAGATATTATATGAGGGGTTGAGAATTGGATACGATATTATTTTATTCAGGAGATTCGGACCGCATCTTCGGTTGTCGTATCCGTAAGTTGTGGTCTCTTCACTCGAATTCATTCGACACCTGGTTTCCATTCTAATTCACTCTGTATGTGGTTTGCTCTGTTCTCTACTGTTTGTTTGAAAACATTGTGTGGGTATGTAAATGCGATGGAAATGTGACAAAGAGCAGTGGACAGTTGTTTCGTCTTGTTTGAGTCTCGTCAGCAGTGCGTACTTTTTGTGTCCCCGTGTCAGGATTCGAACCGCGATCAGTCGGGTCAAAAATTCTAACCCTTACCCCTGAGCTTCACGGTTGACGGTTATCACCTTGGACGAATGGCTTAATCTATCTAGATGGTGAATGTTTCGATTAGACCGTTCGGTTTTTCACAGGCACTGTTGATGATTTTGAGTGGGTGTTTCGGTCCTTGGGAGATGGTCACTTGCCCACTATTTGAATGCATTTAAATGCGGTGTTCCCTGTGAAGAACCGACTGGGCTAATCCGAACATTCACCGTCTAAATTGTACGTTAGTATCTGTGAAGATCTATCTGTTTGTCAGAGCATGTTTCGAACACTGTATAACTAGTCAAAATTTGTTTTCTCACGTTGTTCAGTTGCATATACGGATGAAGTGAAGTGTGCTAACACAAAATATGACACTGAGTCTTCTCATAATCCGTGGGGGTTTCACTCCTTCGGAGATCGCCTATTCCGTTAGATATGGAATGCATGTTAGAAACAATCTTGTATAGTTGAGCTACCTCATATTTTGCTGTTCAGTTAGTAGGTGTTTGTCCGATTGTAGTGCTCTCCTTCTCACCCTGGTTAGCGATTCCCATGATGAACTGTAAGCTCCCAGTATACTCATTCTCGCTTTTTCATCTCTTATTTAGATTCTTGTCTTTTGGAAATTTCGTGTATTATATGACCCTGATGACGATTTGTTCCTCTTTCTGTTTCGCCCCCTCCGGCTTCAACCCACCCGCATCCAGTCCGGATTCCGGTTTGGATCAAATTCAACGACATAAATTGGAGGCACTTCGCACCGCCTCTGCCGACCTGCTTGCCACGCTCACCTCACAAGCGAGTGGACGTCAAGCCCTGTTGAACACATTCGGTTCGGGCGCGTTGCTCAATGCGATTGCTGTCAGTCTGTCCGATGCACTTCAACTGCCTTGTACCATCCCATCATCACCTTCAACTTCGGCATCCATGAGCGAGGCGGAAATGCGGCGTCGATTGTCTTCGAAT